TCCCTGGCAAAAAATTGTTGAATCAATCAACAACCCGTTGACCCGAGCAGTCAAACCGTCGACCTATTCAACGGTTTCGACAGTTCTTTATTTTTAATTATTTTTGTTTAATTTTTAATTTTTGTTGTCAAAATGGCCCATCCATTTGAATCGGATGTTCAAACCGTCAACTTGGAAATTGGTGGCTAGAACGGTTCCGTTTCCGGGTCATTTTTTTCAGATGTCAATAATTAGATAAAATAACTTTGTAGTCATAGTCATGGGAACATGTCTAATTGCAAGGGATTCCAAAACCTTAAAAGATAAACCCAAAGTGACCTTAAACAAAAAAAAAAAAAAAAAATTGGTAGTAAATCCACCAAACTATAAAAACCAAGAAAAAAAATAAAAAACTCGAGTCCAGAGTTCCGCTTTGGAACGATCGGTCTTGTAAGAAAATAAAAAAAAATATATATTGCACAAGACAACCCAAAGGAAAAACAAAAGGAAAGAAATAAAATGGTGGTAAACCCTAGACCATTTTGGAGGATCTTGAAGAAAAAGACCAAACACACACACAAAAAAAAGAAAAAAACAAAAGCAGAAAATGAAAAAAAATGGAACATATTGCACACGCTCGAATAAAGCCCATAGTAGAAGAAACCTTTGAATAGTGAAAATCAAAAAGCATAAAAAAACATGGTTTTCGAACCGCTTTTGACCTAGTCGAACAAACATTTCGGCCCGGGAACCGTCTAGGCAACCGGTTCCGTTTTACCCCAATCCCGATCCTTGGCAAAAATCCGTTGAATCAATCAACAACCTATTGACCCGTCGACCTGTTCAATGGTTTTTGGCCATTTTTTTATTTTTTAATTTTTGTTGTCAAAGTGGGTCGTTCGTTCGAATTGGATGGTTGAACCATCAACCAGAAAACCGGTGGCCCGTGTCGATATTTAGAACCTTAAAGCAATTCATTAAGCTAAGTGCAAATAGCATTTTTTAACTAATATTATGTAACAATCTTCAAAGCACAAAACCCAAAAACTTAAACCAAAGAAATTCAATAAGCAAGAAGACAAACATTATTTTTGCTGATTTTTGTTAACATTATTTATTAAATAATTAATTATTAACAACATTTATCAATAATAGTAAGTAATTATAATATTTTATTAAATAATCAGTAATGATATTTTAATAATATTATTTAGTTATTTTTAATATAACTAATTATTAAATTTATGAATAGGATTTATTAACAATATTCATTAAACTAATAATTACCAAATTAAATTAAATTAACAGTATTTAATCAGTAATAATAATTTTAATATTTTGTTAACAGTCAGTAATTATAATATTTTATTAAATAATCAATAACAATACTTTTACTAAATACTGTTAATTATTAAAATACTGTTAACTGTTAATAAATACTGTATTTATGAAAATACTATAATTATTGAAAATATAGTTAATTAGTACTGTTAATTAATAGTATTAAAATACTGAAATTATTATTATTATTTACTTTTTTATTATTTAAAATATATTGTGCACATTTCCAACTGACCCGTACTGTGTACAGGTCCAAATGAACCGTAATGAGTACGGGTTTGGATCAGCTAGACACGACTATTCATATTCGGGTTTTTTGAAAATGGGACATCGTAGACCTGTTTTCGTCGTCTTCTTCGCCCGAAATGTTATACGGGTCATGGGAGGATGCAATCTTAATGGTAGATGTGTTTACACGGCATCTCGCGGGCCTCTGATCCAAGCTCAAAGGGTTCCTTGCAGACAACACAGTGGGATGCTCACAGCGCCACCACCATCTCAATAGTCGGCATCGCCTCAACGGCAGCCTTCGACGCCAGAGGATGCTCACAGCGCCCAACCCCGTTTATCTCGACCTGAGCGAGCTGATCAAGAAGACGATCAAAGCCTGACCCCATCAAGAAATCTGACACTTGCGAGCTGGGGTCGAAGGCCGGAACCCGCGCCATAAAGTGTAATAATGACCATGCATTTTGATGCCTATGTGCATGGTGCGTTCCACATGTGGTACATATGCATATTTTAACCTATACCTTTGGCAAATCCAGAAAATAACATGAAGTCAAGCTCTGCATCTTATTTACTACACTTGTTTTTTACAACTCAGATAAACAAGTGCAAACTTGTTTTATCATTTGCACTACCTTCAATCAAACATGACAAGTGTAAATGCCAATGGAAAACTAAACTAGATTTGTATTCCCAAGCATTTGCAGTAGTATAAATATGATTTGCATTGCAACCAAAAACAGCCTATGTGTTTTAATGATAACAAGTTCATTTAGAGTACTAATGTTTGTGAAAAGACAAATATATTTGCAGCTATATCAGGACAAACCTCAAATGAACTATAAAGACTTGATAACAAATTCATTGAGATCAATACTAATGATCTAAGGCATAGAGGATCATCTATATGAAATGATGGTTTGAAGTCTCTCCAAGGAAGAAAGTATACTACCATGCAACAATCTCTAGAGTTTTTAAATTGTTTTATATCTTTTAGGACTTGATGTAATCATTTACAAGATGTACAACAATGTATATAGTTGAGATTTACCTCAGTATTACTAAAACCCTAGAGAATAATGTTAAACGGTTAGACTTTAACTAAACTTTAACTATGAAAGTTCTATGTGTGGAGCTCTAATAAGTTGACGCCCAAACCTTAAGAGTTGGTTACATAAAGTTTCTAAGGTTGGACATAATCATTAATCAACTACCTCAGTAATTGATTACCCATGAAATCAATAATCAACTACCTCAGTAATTGATTACCCATGAAATCAATAATCAACTACCTATGACAGTCGAGCTTAGTGTCACATTTGGCTTTTACCTATAGATAATTAATGTAAAGGCAGTATTCAACCAACTTTATTGGCCAAGGTGCATTAACTAATCGACTACCAAGAGTAGTAGTCAACTATAAGACAGAAGAGATTCTCTCGTACGAATAGTAGTCACCAACCTGATAGTTGACTAGTTACTCAGCTCAATTTGGAAGGAGTATAAATACAAATTTGTAGAGTGCAAAACCCCATATTTTGTATTATTTTGTATGTACGGGGATGCGAATGGATTAGATTGGATTGAATCAAGGTATCTATCGGATAGGGGTGATCCAAATTTGATACAATTTTTAGTTAGATCCTATTAACGATTCGAAAATTCAAAATGGGGATATCTGAATCTGAGGATAAGACTTCGGATTGGATCATATCATGATCTGATCCATTTGCACCCCTAGCTACTCTTGACAACCTAATCGTGTTAATTGGCAAATTCAAGAAGATCAGAACAAAAAAATTTTTGACTGTTTGAAGGCTCAATGACTTTTTTCTCTTAAATAAGTTAGTGGTTCAACAGGTAATCATTTGGTTATCGACCAAGTCAATGATAAAAAACTCAATCGGATGACATGCCAATTAATCCAATTGTTCAATTCAACTAAAAAGTTCTAAACATTGGTAAAAATGCAAATAAAAAAAATTTAGGTCTTTAAGGTTGAATGGACAATACAACCATCAATACACCATGCTTCATTTACTTATGTTTGTTAAATGGGTTTTGATAAGGATATTGAATCTATTATAATTATTATCATTTAAAATTGCCGTATACAATGCAACTGCATATTTATTAGTGTATATATTGAATATACATGGCTTTTTACTAGGATTTAAAAAAATAAAAAGGCAATTTAGTCGAAAGAAACTAACTTTTGGTCTCACTCATCCGTTTTATAGTTTGTTTCTAAACATATCTGATTTTGTCAACCAACCAAATTTTATTAAAATGCACTAGTAATTATTGGTTCCAATCCTTTTTAAATTGTTATGGATTTCAGCTGCAAACAAGTTATTAATCAAATTAGTGGAGTTTTAAGAACGGTGACAACAATTTGAAGGGCACATATCACAATTTTAACAAGAGTCATTTGCTAAAACACTCCTTATAATTTCATGGATTTACTAAAACATATCTATAGTTTGCATTGTACTAAAACACCCCATGTGATTTGCAATTGATTTACTTAATCAACCTTCTATTTAGTGACAGTAGAAAATGACAGTTTTGACCCTAATGTTCAATTGAATAAATTTAATCAAAATAAAATACCATTTTTCTCCTAATAAGACACAAGAAACCACTCTATTTGGCTCTCTTTGGTCATTTTTTTTTCTATATGAAGAAGTGTTAGGGGTGCTTTTGGAATAAACAATCATGGGCCCATGTCCATGAACATTTTCCACTCAATTTAGGTGATAATGTTACTATTTTTAGGTGGCAAAACAAACACCTCTTAGTGAAAGGTTGATTAAGTAAATATGTTATAAACTGTAGGGTAGTTTTAAGTAAATCCATGAAGCTATAGAGGTGTTCTAATAAATGACCCTTTTAACAATTTAATGACACTAAAAATCTTGAGGGAGCAGTACTCAATAAGAGAGTTGCAAACTTGTAATTAGGAATGCTCATGGTTTGGTTAACCAAATTGTGAGCCTTTTTTTTACAAACCAAACTGGTGGTACCGGTTTTTGGAAAACTGGTAATCAAAACCAAACCAAAGCTGATCGATTCAGTTAATTGTCAGTTCAGTTCATCGGTTAATTTTTGGTTTTTCAATTTATATATAATAAATAATATTATATATATATAAATATATATTAATAATATACATATATATATATGTATATAATATAGGAATGTAAGTATATTGGTCAGTTTGTTTAACTACCTGTTTTCTTTATTGGTTAACCAAAATTGAACCGATACCTTTGAGTTGTTAAAAATCCCGAACAGACCAATTTGATTAAACAGATTTTTTGGTTTGATCTCATTGATTCGGTTTAGTTTTTTGGTTTTTTGGTTTTTCTTGCTCACCCCTACACGCAATATATCAAGTTCGTCCTAATGCTATAAGGAAAAATGTTTCAAATTGTTTCCCAGCTACAAAAGGAATTTTTTTCCTTCTTTTCGAAAGAAACAAAAGTCAAACTTAACCGTTATTTGGAAAAACAATCATAAAATTGACTCCACACTAACTACTAGTAAGGAAAAGGGAAAAATCCCAAAACCAAAATAAGCTCCCAAAATAAAGATTATAAATACATTAATAAACAGCATACTATGAAATATGAATTATCATTTATTGTCTTGAGCCTCAACTGAACTTTTCTTGAAGGGCCAAGGTTTGAATCCTCTCTGGAGCATCTTCTCCACCTCCTCAAATGGCAATCCTTTGGTTTCAGGTACTAACAAGTAGATAAGAACCAAGGCAGCACCGGAGACTCCAGCAAACAGTAAAAATGTATAGGCTGAGCCTAGCTTCTGTGTTAAAGATAAGAAAGACATGCTCACGATGAGATTTGAAACCCAGTTAGCCACTGCAGCCATCCCTCCACAAAGTCCTCTGTATTTCAAAGGGTATATCTCCGAGTTCACAATCCAAGGGGCTGTTCCCATTCCTGGCGCATAAGAGATAATGTATAACCCTAAGCCCAGCAATGCCAAAACCCCAAATCCAGATGGACATCCTCTAGTGAACCATTGCCGATGTTCTCCTTGGCATCCACTTCTTGAACTGGGGATGGAGACCAAACATGCACCAGGATGATTCTGCATGCATAACAGAGTGAACCCAATAAATAAAAAATTTTGTAACATAAATACTTATTATTATTATTATTATTATTATTATTATTATTATTATTATCATCATCATTTTGGAAAGTGCGGGGAGGATTAAGGGTGTCAATAGACCAGTTTTAGATTGGACCCCGTCCAATCCAAAATCAATTTGAACGAATTGGACAGACCAACAACACATATTGAATTGGACCAATTCGGTCCAAAATATGTCCATCCATAACAAATTTATATTGGATTGGATTAAGCCAATATCTGATCCATTAACATAAGATAAGAATATATGTGTCAGTGAATCAAGTTTGGGTTGAAATCAATCTAAATCAAAATAAATTTGAACAGATTGGACAGTTCAGACATTGAACTGGACCAATCCAAATTGATCTAAAACATTCATTTAATTGAATTGGACCTGATCCATTTATAATAGACTCACATTGGACTGGATCGGATTGCACCAAATCCAGTCCAACTGACATCCCTAAGGAGGATGAAGGTAAAAGGAAGGTAACAGGAAGGTGTAACATACTATCTGATCATGTAAATATGTAGCCAAAAGCTTGATTTACTAAAAAGAAAAGCATACAATTAGTAAGCAATTATTCCGAAAAAATGTATGGAAATTGGATGATTAGTTTTATCCATTACTGATGTTAGAAACTTAGAGTTTTGTGTTTTCGGATTTGCCAGTCTGAGATGCAATTAGATTTTTATTATTTTACTGAAAATACGAAGATATATAATTATTTTGATTAAACAACTGACAAAATAAATTTCAAGAAATAATGAAATTTTCATGATTTCAGGATCAAGCTTTTGAATTTTAATATCAAAACACTACCAGTTTTCTAGTACCTTTTAATCAAAAAGATGATACTATGTATTAATGTATATTTCGTTATACTATTGAAAAATATTTTAAATTTGATAAGTCTAACACTTTAGTTGAATTCATTGATAAATGATGTCCCTTAGGGAATTTTTTAAAATTAAATAGCTAACTTAACGTTATTAAAAAATGACGTCAGAAATATTACATATGTTGTTTTTATTATAAACTGAACAAGAAATTGCATCCTATTAGTCTGTTAGTAATTATTAACTAAGTGGGCTTTCGGATGCATAGAATCGAAGTAATAGTTTTAACTGACGGGGAGTATTTGTTTTAGATTTCGAGAAGAGGGAAAATTGGTCAATTGATCAAGAAATTCATGTGGAGATCAGAAAAAGTTTATTTTCATGGGTATCACTTATCTAGTTAAGTAATATCCATCTCCTAGGTGGATAAAAAACTTTTCCACTTGGGAGAAAGTTGCTCACACTTGAATGGGACAAAAATGCCCCTTTTAATAATTGAATTTTATGACTAAAATGGTCATTACCTTATTTACATGGGAAATAAAAGAACATGAGTAAATGCACTTACCCGGGTAAGTTTTTCCTGAGAAACACTTACCTGGGCAAGTGTATCCACACTGATAAATAACTTACTGAAAAACGAATGGGGCCTAAAAGTAGGGGTGAGTAAGAAAGCGCAAAAATCAAAAACCAACGAAAACTGAATCGGAAAGCCGGTTAATCAAATTAGTAGTTAACCAAACCAACCGATATATATATATATATATATATATATATATATATTATGTATTGTATATATTATATTTATATTTATATTTTTAAATAGAAATAAATCCACCACTATTTGACTTTTTGAATTTCCCCCTTTCCGCTTTTTGATACCTAAAGGCTAATACCAAAACTGAAAACCTGTGTTTTCCACTTGTTCGTCTTCCTCCCCAGTTCCCCTTGCTTTCCTCCGGCACCAATCATCATCTTCCATCATTTGATGTCGGCATTGGTTGACCGTCGTCTTCTGATGGCCTCACCCCCTCCCTTCAGTGTTATGGCCATGCCAGAAGGCTCAGAACCAAGAACTCTCTCTCTCTCTCTCTCTCTCTCTCACTCTCTCTCTCTCTCTTGCCTGTCATCTCCCTCTGCCGCTCCGTGCCAACCACCAAGCGGCAATACCAGTTGCCGGAAAGCAACAAGCCACCAAAGCCAGACACCAACTACTCCCTCTCCAGTGACACCTATCATCTCTGCTACCTCTCACTTCAGTTTCAGGCAACATCAACCACTCCGGCATCGACAAACCAGCCACCACTTCAGTGTTCATTGTCTAAGTTCGACTTCACGCCTTCAGCTTGTTTAAGGTATTTTTTTTTATTTTTTTGCATAAATATTATTTATAGTGTATTTTTTTATTTTTTGCATAAATATATAGGCCTTCAGGCTTCAGCTTGTTCATTGTCCAAGATTACTGCACAAAAAAAATCAAAGAAGCCGGTTAACCGGTTGCATCGGTTTGATTTTGATTCAAATTATTAGAAAACCGATCAAAACGGTTCAGTTTAGAAAAAAAAAAAAAAAAAAAAAACTCACGGTGAGCACACCTAACTAAAAAGTTTCTCTGGATTGTAGAAAAGGAAAACTTTGATTATATTGGAAATGATATCCAATTGCGTTTGACTAAAATTAGGAAAAGACTGTTCATTCATTCCCATTCTTTTATCTCTTTTATAGAAAAATATTACCTAACTTTTAAATTAACCCTCTCTGATTTTCTTTTTTCCATTATTGATTACAAAGGTAGTGGATCAAAAGAAATACTTAAGACAAAACTTACCTTGTTCGCACAAAACCCACACTGAGGAGATGCTTTCAAGCATGTCATACAAGTCCAAGATGAAGAATCTGGGGCTGTCATGTAACTGGGACAAGTCATGTTCCCACCAAAGTGCATTGAGTCTGATCTACTTATGGTGGGTGAATGAACAGAAGCTTCATTGAACACCACAAACAACAGTAGAAGACAACATATGATGCCAACCATACTAACAAGAAGAAGCCTCCTCCTCCCAAACCTATCAAGGCATAACATGCTAATGATGGTTCCAATAAAATTGAGACCAGATGTAAAGAGAGAGAGCGCCAAGGCCAAAGAGTTGGAAGCGAAACCAGCCAACTGAACAATGGTTGGACTGTAATACATAACTGTATTGATACCCACAAACTGCTGAGCCACTTGACACAGAATACCAGCAGCTAGCCCTCTGCGTACAATCTTGTTACTCCATGCTTTCCTTACTTTGGTGAGGATGTTATCTCCACCAATACAACCTTCCGCTATTTCAGCTTCAACAGACAATCGTAGGGCCTCTTCCTCTTGCTCAACCTCATGAGGTTCATATATTTTATTCAAAATGTTCACAGCTTCCTTTCTCTTGTTCTATTTCATGGAAATATATACAAAGCAAATAGTAAGTATAATAAGAAATTGGTGGATATGATTATGGAGTTAATGCTCTTCACATTAAAACAAATTCATTAATGTATCACATAAGAGATTAACAGATTATAGAAAAAGAAACAACCTCTCTGTAGAGCCATCTAGGGGATTCAGGAAGTGACAGCATCAGTAGACCCTGAATGATTGCTGGAATTCCAGCCACTCCTAACATCCAACGCCAAGTTCCAGGTACCTGAAAGAAGGAAAATTTCATTACAAAGTTATTATCAAGATTTATCACTTCTTTTAGTTATATTAATGTAAGTCGGAATTGGAATCAGAATGGTCCATTCCCATAATCTGTTTGGTTCAGACAGGAATGGGAGTAGGAATTGAAATCAACAAAAATGGGATTTCATTCCCAGGGGGGGGGCAGGGAATGGCCATTCCCTCAAATGGGGAAATGCCATTTCAGCAAGAATGAGGATGGGATTCCAATTCCATCCAACCAAACAGTTGGAATAGGAATAGCCCATTCCGATTCCCATTATAGACCCCTATTCCCACGAACCAAACGGGGCCATAGATTAATGAATGAAACGGTACATGTTGTTTATTGTGTACCTTGGTGAATGCAAGATTGATCAAGTATGACACTAACTGCCCTCCTGTAATTAGCAAACCATTAATACTAACAAGGGCTCCTCTAATTCTAGCTGGAGAAGCTTCTGAAATATAAAGAGGTGCAGTCATAGAAGCCATTCCAACTCCTAAACCCACTAAAATTCTTCCAATAATTATCATCCATGGCCAAAATGAGGCAGCCATGATTACTGCACCGAAAAAGAACAGGACATCAGCCAACAAAATGGATTTCTTTCGTCCATATCTATCGTTGATCCATCCACCAAATGCAGCACCAACTATAGCTCCTGCTACAGCCATGCTGACAATGGTCTCCTGCACAATGAAAATATAAAAATCAGGATGGCATAATAAGGAAGGAGGGTTTTAACTCAATCTCAGTTTGACATCACACTAGAAACTCACCTGTAACACTGTGCTCCCATCAACAGACTCAAAGTTATCTCGTATGTAAAGAAGAGCACCAGAGATAACTCCTACATGCCAGCCAAATAACAAAACTATTTGTTAAGGGTGCTACAGCTAACCTTTATTTTTATGGGCTTTGCACTATATATTTGTATTTGCACTTGGAAGGAGTACAAATACAAATATGTAGAGTGCAAAATCCCGTATTTTGTATTATTTGGCTCAGTTTGGAAAGAGTACAAATACATACAAAATACAAGGTTTTGCACTCTATATATTTGTATTTGTACTCCTTCCAAACTGAGCCTTAGGCTGTGTTTGGTTGCAATACAAATAAATTTGTACTGATACAAAACTATGGCAATACAAATGATTTGAGTGTAAATTCTGACCTATTTTTCAAAATTTATCTTATTTGATTGCAGTATAAATGAAATAAATTAAGACATGAAGCAGAATAAAGTAAAACCCAAAACAAAATTATACGAGATTTTGCATTTTATTCATTTGCATTCCCATGTATTTGTACTAGTGCAAATAAAATTGCACTGCAATCAAACACAGCCTTAAGTTTTAAGGTTAAAGGTTAAAATTTTAGGGGTTTAGGGTTCAAGGCTTAAGGTTAGGGTTTAGGGTTTAAAATTTGAGAGTTTTATCTAACAATCAAGAGAGACTTCAGACTTGGTCTGACCCCGGTAGGAGAATATGTGTTACAGATTTTCATATGTTTACATTAATTATCTAATGAGTGATTCTTGTTCATTCATTTAATAGCAGCGAAGAACTTATAAAGTTGCTACCGAGAGTAAGTTGAAAAAAAAATAATAAATTGAAGATTCGAGCACTGATTATATAATTCATAAATTTATTAGCAAATCAAGCATGAAAATTGCTGACATTCAGAGAAAGAAATTAAGTTGGTTTGGGTACCTGTGTCGTAACCAAAAAGGAGTCCTCCGATCCCAGCTGAGAGGGCAAGACGCAAGATGTAAGGCCGTTTCCAGGAAGTATTCCAGCATTCTATGAATTCTGCTTTGTTGGCTTTGTGAATGCCACCCTCCATTGTATTGTATGTAAAGTGTGAAGATATATACACCCCAACAACTCCTCTCTACTGGAAGTTATATATAATGGAATCAATCAGAACCTGCACATCTCAGAACAATTAGAACTTGAGAGAGGCAGTTAATGTCAAACAATTCAATTACAGTCACTCAATATTTTAAGCTATGTTTGCTTCTTAAGAACCTTCCCTCAACTCTCTGTTTTCTCTAATTTGCAGAAAAGTTTACCTTCACGAAAGCACTCAGTAAGCGATTTTCCTCTCTCTAGGTGAATCTGTTCTTATCTAGAGGGATTGTATATGAGTAAAAGGTGGACGTAGATCTGTTTCAATTCAACCAGCGAAATGAAGATAACATAAGAGAGTAAATAGGGAAGTAGAAGGACGACTAACCTCTGATTGGTGATGTCTACTGGACGAACTTATTGTTTTCCTTCTTCCTTGTGCTTCTCCTACTACTACGGTATTATGATAACGATGAAGAGAAAGAGTAAACAATTTTATGGAAAAAGTGGGGGGATATATTTGGTATCCTATTGAATTTGTGACTCCTAGATATACTTGGAATTGGAAAGTGTGATTAACCGAGTCGAGTTGTACGAATAGATTGCACCGTTGCAGGATTTGGCTTCCCTAATCTATGTATATATTCATAATTGAGTCCGGATTAGCTGCCTAGTTTAGGGGCTGTTTAACCAATATTAAGGCCCCACGTCGACCTTTCATATGGATAGATGAGGAAAGAATCCCATCTTGATCTCAAGCGAATGTGCTGCAATTTAGGGCTTCAAACGGATGGGATCAAATCGGATATGGGTAGATCCAAAATTTGATTAGAAGTTCGTATTGTATCTATTATCTGTATCTATCAGATTCGAATTGAATTTCGATTGCAATCGTATTTTGAATAGTATGAGTTAAAATAAAAATGATCGAAGTAGGGTAAAAGACAAATATATCCCGAGCTTTTAACAATTAACTTAGTATATGTTTAGCATTGATGTCGTTGCTCTAGAAAACGGCGACACATCAATGCTACGTCGGAAAAAATGGTGTTCCAGAAAACGTCTGTTTGTTTGGAACTGTTTTTCCATAAAAAATGGTGCTTTAAGCCACGTCTTGGAAACGGGGAAGGTGTGGTTTAAAGCAATACCGAATTTGGCATTTCCTGGAGCTGCAGCTCATTGCTGCCAACAGGGACATGAGGTGGCCGTGACAGGGACATGACGTGGCATTGCCGCATTGGATAATAGGTACCGGTGCTGAAAACGTTTACTGAAGCATTGGTACAAGAAAACGTTGCTGTTGCTCCAGGAAATGTCCTACTTGATAGCAATATTTCCAAACAAAAGAAAGACATTGTTTCCTCAGAAAACGGTGCTTCCAATCCACACATCAGCAGCACCGTACTGAGAAAATGGTGCTGTATTTGCAGCATTGATGCCAAACATATACTTAAATATACCCTGAAGTTTTAAAATGGGCATAAAAGATAGAAACGTTAATCTATTAACCTCATATTGGACTTAAAAACACGCATACCTAATGGATAGAAATGTTAAAGATCCATTTATATATGTCATCATGTAGTATGTCTTTGCTTCCGTTTATGTTTATTGAATAAATGTTTGTACTTTATTTGCTGGTAAAACCGAAAAATGCAATAATTGCAACCGTTTATAACAACTAGGCACCACTTCAGCATAACAGTAAATAAACACCTATCTGCTTGTTGAAGCTTCAAAAAGTAACTTTTACAAACGGCCGACATGCATGCAGATAAACCATTTTTTACATTTTTTATATATGCAGAAGAGCAAGAGAGAGAAAATGTTGAGCTATCAATAAACGTTTACTGAATAGACGTAAAGGAACCAAACACCCTCGTAATCCCTTTAAAATTTTAAAATCCTTATTTTGCCCTTCCATGCCTTATCAATAGTTGAGATGGATGCATAAATTTTTCAAAGACCCGGTCTTTTTTTAGCAAACAGAGAGATAAATGGTTGCACTCCAATTTGCACAGTGATAACCAAATATGTATTAACTTTTAAGTAGAGCCAGTTACTGTCTTACTGAATGGACAAAATTCTATAAGCTAGAGAGGCTGATTTCTTTAACTGCAATAAAAGTTGGGTGGCTCACATGGACATTAGCTTTGGACCATTGTCAGGCATCCCCATCCCCACAGCTAGGGCAGCATCCAGTTGAGTATGTGGTGCAGGTCCCATAAATGCCCCATTCCTGGAAGATCTTCATCCAGGGGCAGGGGTTTCCTCTCCTCATCTGGCTTCCAAAGCTCTTCATACACAGCATCATTGCCTTTGAGAAGGAACTTCACTCAGCTAGAGGAATTGTGAGAAAACCTTCTCTTCTTCACTGTTGGGGGAAATCTCCAGCAAAGCTATCATGGTTGAAGAGGTAAGCTGCCACTTCACGGATACCAGTTTATCCAACTTGAACCAAGCATTTCAAAACAAGCTCTTGCCAGAAAAGCCTTTTGCGTTATTCAATATTGCAAATGGTTCTGTTTGAAAATTTGAAGAATAATAAACTCGGGTATGTTTAAGTCAATTAGTGAAAATTCAGGGTATATTTAAGTCTTTTACCTTATATAGTATTAACAAAATGAAAAAGTTAACTTGATATTATGTTTCATCTTTCATGAACAAAATTACTAGTATTAAACTTGAAATGGGGCGGGTACCATGCTCTATCCCTGTACCCAATTCCGATAGGGAGGAAAAATGAACCTCTACCCTCCATTTCATTTTTTTAATTAATTAAAAGCATGCTTTGAGAAAACAGATTCACTTGAATGGCATTATTTAGGGCTGTCAAGAGGTGGATACCATACTCTATCCCTGTCCCCATTCCAGTATATGTAATGGCATTATTTAGGGCTGTTAATGGGTCGGGTCTAGGTAGAACCAGTCCACTAGTCCTGAACCAATTATTAATGGGGACAGAATCAAAGAACTAGAACTGTGCCGGTTAATAGTTGAGTCTATCAGGTCCAGACCTAATCTAATATACTGAAAACTATATTTTTTTATTTAAATTATAACTTAAATTTTAAATTTTGATAATATATCCTTAATAAAATTGATAAAAAAAGACTAAATTATTTATATGTTAACAAATTATGGGAAGATTTTTTAAAGTATCTCTATGGTTTAGGAAATTGACTAACTCTACCCTTACTATTTACATATTGTCTTAAAGTATCCTTAAGTTTTTTGACAATTGTCTAAAACCTACCTTGTTAACTTTCCGTCACATTCCATTTATGTGATATTTTTTGAAAATTCTTAAAATACCCTTTTAAAAATTCCTAAAATTAGTAAACCTTTGAATTCCTAAAATATTTGACCAGCCCCTTGCTTCAGATGCCGAGAATAGAACGATTCTGGGTTGAGATCGATTATTGGTTTTAGGTAAGACTATCTGAACAAATGTTTTGTCTGCATAGTTGGAATGTTTCGTTCTCAAGTACTTCACTCTGAGCTTCTTACTATGATCCTTAACCGATATCCTTGCATTTATGGCATTGGGGCAGGTTCAGGGCGGGGATCATATTCCCCGTCCCCGACCCCGATTATAAAAGTAACCCCATCCCCATTCCTGTTCTCCGCTAGGGATGAAATTTGTCCTCCATCCCCGATCCCCCAACAGGGATGGGTTCTCTATAGAGACCCGAATCCTCGAATTTTTTTTAGATAACAGTATTTATTTAAAAAATAAATTTACTTAAAATAAATAAAAATGTTAAATTAGAAATCATTGTCCCCGTCCCCAACCCCAACCCCGATCAGGGATTCCCATTAATCCTTATCGCCGTCCCCGCCCCACCAAAACAATCCCCATCCCTAACCCCATCAGGTCAGGGAAGTCGGGTCCCCGTCGGGGATGGAGAAAATTGCCATCCCTACTTACATTATGTATCTCGATGTCTCTCTCTATGCCCTCGCATAATGAACAATACCCTCATCGTGGTCTCAGCTCTCTATAAATCCACTTTGTGCTCCATTGACCTCTCTATATCTAAATTCTTCTCTCATGTGGGCCTCACCAATTTGGTTCTGAATTGCAGCGGCGAAGAATATGGAAAAGCTAAGCCTTGTCAGGTGTAAATCAATTTCGGACTCAAGGATGGGTGTATTGCGGTTGGATGTAGGAAGCTGAGGGTTATCAACCTCAAGTGGTGTTTGGATGTCACTAATTTTATTGTTGGTTAAGGCGTTTGTTTGGTATCATTGTTGTTGCTCTAGAAAATGGCGTTACATCAGAAAAAAATGGTATTCCAGAAAACGGGTATTTGTTTGGAACTGTTTTTCCATAAAAAACGATGCTCCAAGTAATGCCTTGGAAATCAGGAAGGCATGGCTTGGAGCAACGTCAAATTTGACGTTTCCTGGAACTACAGCTCGTTGCTACCAACAAGGATGTGAGGTGGCAGTAATATGGCACTAGATAATGGATACCAGTGCTAAAAACATTTCTTAGAGCATACAGAAAAAATTACTATTGTTCCTATCCTATCTGACAGCAACGATTCTAAACAAAAAGAAAAAAAAAAGACACCACGTTTTCTTAGAAAACAATGTACATCAGCAGCACCGTTTCTTCATACTTCTTTTCTAAGCTATCATGTAGAAATGCTGCTTTCTTCTCTGTTCATATCCTTTTCACCAAAAATAGAATTTTTTTTTTTGTATTATTATTGAATAGAAATATCACTTGGTGATAGCTTTCATTCTTTTCTATTAATTATTTGTTTGCTTTTATTTTCTTCTTTTGCATTCTAGATTGCTCCGCTTTATTGTTCTATTCTGCATATGCTGAACTAAAAGGTTGCCACCGTCTGTTTGGGGTTTCCGTAGCCAACAACCACAACAATTACCAACATTGCCGCAGACTCATTGGATTCCAGCCACCAGCCAGCGGTGCCCCCAATCGCTCTGTCTCGGGTGGCTAGAGGATTAGTGCAATCATCCTCGGCAAACAGACCCAAGTGGAGAACTCTCTCTGCCTTACAGTCATCCTCTTCACCCTTCCAATGCACCCAAACTATCATAGGGGTGAGCACTATTTGGTTAAAACCATAAAACCGAATTGAAAATTTCAATTTCGGTTTTTTCAGTTTTTGGTTTCAAATTTTAGAATTAGAATTTCGGTTAACCGAATTAATTGAAATTATATATAATATATAATATATAATATGTAACATAAAATATATAAAATATTATATATTCATATATTAATACATAATATACTGAAATTTGATTTCATAATATATATTATATGTTATAATATATATAATAGAGTATATACTATTAAAATTTGGTTTTAACCGAAATAACCAAAAATTCGGTTTCAGTTATATTTTGTTTTTTCTAAATTTCGGTTTCAGTTTCGATTTTTATTTTTTTAATTCGATTTACTTGGCTCGGTTTTTAACCAAATAAATCGAATGCTCACCCCTAATCATACAGTTCTTGAAATTTTTCATCAGTTGGGTTTTATTTTGAAAGTATGAGAAATAATGGAAGGCAAATTTGACATTTCTTTTTTTCCTTTAGTGTTTAACAACAATGT